CCAAAACCAAAACACACACCAAAACCAAACCACAAGCACAAGCACAAGCACAAGCACAAGCACAAGCACAAGCACAAGCACAGGCACAGGCACAGGCACAGGCACAGGCACAGGCACAGGCACAGGCACAGGCACAGGCACAGGCACAGGCACAGGCACAGGCACAGGCACAGGCACAGGCACAGGTCACACAGGCACAGGCACAGGCACAGGCACAGGCACAGGCACAGGCACAGGCACAGGCACAGGCACAGGCACAGGCACAGGCACAGGCACAGGCACAGGAACTCCGAACCCATTCTGGGGGGAAGTCTCTTGACAACAGCTGGACTCTTGGACGGTGTGACGATCAAATTTTTCTTCTAATTCTTTCCCGTGTGGGTGGTTTGTAACATCCTTTGGGCCAAGTCTCAAACTTTCGCGTGCGATGGACGGTGTGGCTGAGGCAGACCCTGCGCGCCCTGTCTGCGGCGGATCCGGGCCTCGGCAATGCGGTGGAGTACGCCGCCTGGACGCTGACGCACGGGCACCGTGCCTGGGCCGAGTTGCCCTTTCTCCGATCTCCGATGGGGCTGATGGCTGATGTCTTCCGGGGGGGGGGGGCGCCGTATTTTTATTTTTCTTCTTTTTTTTCTGAGGGGGCTTTGGGAAACCGAGGGCCGCCACCCGTTTTTGGGTCCTTCCTAGATGGAGGACAGGGGAGTTCTTCTGACACTGACTGCCAGGGGCAAGAAACCCCTCTGTGGTGTTTTTGGTGAAGTGGTGAGAGAGGCTTGTGGCTTGTCCAGCCAGTTTGAGGTGGTCGAACGGGAAGAAACCGAGCCACACTGCCAGACTCTTGCATCCTTCGCGCTAGGAGTCAACCATGTCACCATCCTGCTGAATACCCTTGGCATCGATGGCGTAAACACCCTGGCCGACCTGAATGTGCCTGGGCCGGAGCTAGTGTGTGTCCATCCTTTCGGGATTCTATGTCCCCCATTTTGGTTGCATTTCAAGGGCACGTGGAGGTCCCTGAATTTGAGATACACCCATGTGGGGACCTTTAGGTTTAAGCGACCAATTTTCGGGACGAAGTCAGCCCCACACACAGCCATGCCGGTGATCATGCTTGTTGGAGGTCTGGGAGTCTGTGCCGGATATGCTTTTGGACTTTGGGTGAAAGGGAAGGAGCCGCCCAAAGGGAAAGACCCCGCCATCAAGCATGCTTCCCTTGGAGTCATCCGCTTGGATTGGCACTACCATCCTCTTCCTGGAGATGTCGGAAGCAGTGACAGCTTCGAGTATCCCGTCTTCTACAGGGCTGTTCCGGGGCTCACTTTCGAAGTGTGCCAGTCTGGAGTAATGACGCCTGAGATTCGAGAACATTTCAAGGAAGCAATACGATACTTGGACCAGGACAAGCAAGTCTCGGTGATTACCTCTGACTGTGGATTCTTCATGTGGTTTCAGAAGGAGGCTCGTTTGTACACATCGAAACCAGTAGTGATGTCATCTTTGGCTATTCTCCCTGCAATTCATGCTGCACTGGGAAACGACGGCAAGATTGCAATCTTTAGTGCCAACAGCGATAGCCTTGAACCTATGCACGACACAGTCGCATATGAGATGGGCGTCGATTGGAATGCTGATTGCTATGAGCTGATTGGTTGCCAGGATGTAGAAGGCTTTGACGCTGTCGCTACTGGAGATCCAGTTGATTTGGCAAAGGTCACACCTGGAATTGTGAAAAAGGCTCTCGAAATCACCAAGAAGAAGAACATCCATGCCATCCTTATGGAGTGTACTCAGCTCCCGCCTTTTTCAGACGACGTCCGCGCAGCAACAGGTTTACCCGTATACGATGCCATTGTATGCGCGGACTTTTTTGTCCGAGGCTTTGTGGACAACCCACGATTTGGTCTGAATGGATGGCACCAATGTTGGGATGGTACACAAGAAGCTTACAAGCTTGGCGATGTTGAAGACAAAGACAAGTTGATTCATTACAGTGCAACGCATTGACCCATGATGCAAGAGAAAGTCTCTGTAGCAAAGCGTCGGGTCATCATGAAATTCAATTTGATCCCGTGCCGATGCAGAATAATCGATCCTGAAGCTAGGATGAATGTAGACTGGAGAAGAACAGCCCGCTGCCAGACAGGGCGGGTGGCAATCTGCCTTGCGGAGGAACAAAAAGAGCCACTTGCACCAATGGGAGCCTCTCGAATGTTCGACATGGCATAGGGCAAGGTATCTGGGAATGGACGCTTCAACAGACGACAGTCCGTGAGGCCTCCGGAAGCACTAGGTTAGAGATTGCTGAACCTTGCTGCCCGTATGCATCGTGCAGTTGGTTGGTGGCTGCTGATTTTGAGTTTTCCTCTTGGTTCAAGGCCATCCATCAGGGGTCACAGCTCGAAGAGCTTTCTTTTGCCCCAGAGATCTGTGCCCATCAGAGTTGGCAGAGGGAAACCCGAAGCACCAGGATATGTGTTACATGTTTCAACATCATGCTTGAATCATGTCTCGATGTGTTTGCAACTTGTTTAACACCAGCGCACCGGAACTTCCTCCCCTTGCTCCCAAAGGGCCCGACGTGCCGCTTTGCACCCTTTCACAAACAGGTGGCTGAGTAAGCACCCCATTCCATGATCTGCCTTTTTGTAGGGTACCCTTTTGGAAGCCCACCACGGAGGCGGATTCCGTTTTGGGGGGCGCCCGATTTTTTTGAGCCCCAACGCCGCGGGCTCGGAGCTGTGAGGCGCTTCTGCAGGCGGAGGGCTTCGAGTTCAACCCCGCGGGCGGCGCGGACGGGTGGTCTCAGGGCTCCCGAGCTGTTCATTTGGAGCAGAGCTCCACCCTGGCAGCGCCTCGCCCTTGTTCTCACAAGGGACGGGGAGGTGGGAGGGGGTGGGAGGGGGGGGGAGGGGGTGGGAGGGGCGGGGGTGGAAGGGAAGGGGGTGGAAGGGGGGGAAGGGGGGGGAAAGCGGGGGGTTTGGGAGGGGGTTTTTAGCCGTCAAGTCCCACCTATTCTTTTTGCTTCTGGGTTCCCCTCTGTTTTGGGGCTGGGGAAACACCTCCATACAGCCCGCATACCAGAAGCGTTGCTCAAAAAGGGGTGGACAAACAGTCACTTGCTGTCCGTGGACACTGGTAAAAGTTGGTTGCCAGGGTTGGCCCCTTTTGAACCGGCGATTGTCCCTTTGCCAGCTCCAAATGGCACCAGTTGAATCGTTGGACCCGACATGACAATTCGCCTTTGGGGCCAGTCTTTTTCTAGCTTGACAAGGAGCCGTTTTGGAGGTGGGGTTGGTCTAGGGAGCTAAGGAGCTACCAGAATGGTTTGCGGAAGTCGTTGCCTTCAGTTTGTGGGCCACAGACAGGTGGGCAACAGTTTTTGTTTTTTTTGTGCGCGAGAGACAGGGGTGCGCGTGCTTTGCGTGGCTTGGTCTCAATTGCTTGGTTGCTTTGGTTGTCAGGCGTCGCGGGGCTTGTCTGTTGAAACAAGAGATGCACTGCACCCCCTGACTTTGGCTTCAATATCCTTTCAGGTGGTGACATTCTTTCGTTTGCCAGTGTTGCTCCAAGCAGTATCCTTTGCCAAATGGCGGGCCAATGATGCAGCATGCTGCAGCAGTGCTCCCCGGTAAGGGAATCCAATACTGGCTGCTTTTAAATTGTGTCCATGGAACCCACGGGTTGTTTCAATATCATTCCGACCTGTCCTTATGGCTCTTCGCGTTGCCAAATTCGGTGTTTCCACTGGCGCCTCGCATTCTTGTCCGAAATTCGGACCCGGCTTCCCTTTCTGGGCTGCCATAGCCCCAGTATTACCGGGCGAAAGTAGATGGGTACAATCCCCAATTCCCCCTCCCCCCCCCTCCCGGGCAGAATCCGCTCTTTTCACATCCGAAAAACTCACCAGTGGAGTTGTGCCGTTGGCGTCCCCAATTCGGCCTTGATTTGGTTCGTCCTCGCCCCGAGGATCTGGTGCCGCACACCTTCGGGTGCGGCAGCCGCGCGGAGGTGCCCTGTTCGTTCCTGGAGCTCATCCAGCGACATGAAGGCCGCGTTGATTTGGTCTTGGCCGAAGGGTGGATATGATTTTCGTGTCTCAGGCCTTGTTTTGGGTGGAGTTGGCTTTTAAAACCCAAGGGGTTTGGGGAACACCAAGCGGTTGATTGTCCTTTTCGGGTTTGTGTAACTCAGGAGGCGAAGGAAGCACCTGGGGCTTGTCGGGAGGGACTGCGACTGGGTCGGAGTTTCGAAGCTCCGGTTTCGCCCGGGGTATGTCTTTTTGGAGTTGACAACACTGGGTATGGGGGTTGCTTTCTGGGAAACCAAAAGGCAGCCACTTGGTTTGGGGTTGCCCAATCTTGCAACCCAGAAAAAGGACCAGCGAAAAAGCTCACTTAAGCATTTTCTGCAAACCGCGCAGACTCTGCATCGTTTTTTCCGCTCAAACATGCAATCATTTGCAGCTTACTCTCATTTGCATGGCTTCTGACTTGAGCGATTTTGATTGCAGCAAGGAGGCATGCAGTCCCGCGTTGCTGGTTTGCACAAAACTCCAATCTCAACATTTTGGGATTGGTTCAGATGGAACCAAACGGACACCACACTTCTTCTTGCGTCCCTCTATTTGACTCGTCCTGTCCAATTGGCTGCAGCTTGCATGATCTTGGGCGGAGCGTGTCGAGCCAGGCTTCCGGGGCTTTCTGGGGCAGAATGCGAAAGGCCGGACCTATGTGTGCATTTGACCGAGTGCTGCGCCGGAGGTAGTGGGGTGGACATTTTGTTTGAATGGTGGCTGTTGCAGTGGAAAGCACTTGGAGCTGTCCCTGTTGCCTGAGGTTTGAAGAGTTCCTGCGTCTGCTTTCTCTTAGACTTGCTTTGTCCTGGACCATTGGCAGGCATCTTCGCGTCCACCAATGCTCGCCCAAGCCAGCCCGTGGCATGAGGCAGGGACAGCAGAGTTCATTCGTTTAGAAAAAGACCCCATGTTTTTTTGTGTGTGTGTGAGTGTGTGTTTGTGTTGATATTCAGCTCTTCGAGCCCGCAGGAGAAGCACCGTGCTGTAAAAGCCATGGGCTCTACAGCCGTGGAATTTCAATTGTCCATGACAGGACGTGGGTTGTCCAGCCAGGGGCTTAGGCGCAGACTGTCGCTCCCAGATCTCAGTGCCTGCATGGCCATCTCACAGCGGGCGTTTGAGCAGCCATTTCAAATTTTGGAGGGTTCCGCCTGCCATTCTGACATGCGAATGGCACAAGAACCTTCTACCATAGCATTCATTGATACATTCGCTCCTGGGAAGTGATCGGAAAGGCACGGCAGGGACTCGCCGCCCAGCTGAGACTCGGAACCTTTGCCCAGTGAGGCTTTCAAACTTCCGCCTGGGCGTGAGTCGTTCCAGAGGCAGCGGCTGGGCGTTGAAAAACAGTTCCGGTTCTTGTGAGGCTTGTCTACACACCGAAAAGCCAGGCATTCAAAAATGAGCGTTACTGTTTTGGTTTGAGACTGAAAGGCCCTGAGACGCGTTTGTCGTCCCCGGCCGAACTAATTCACGCGGCCCGGGTGCTGGGCTCATTGAGCCACACGATTTGCGGACAGCCCAAACTGCCTCCTGTCGCGACTGCATGCCGAAGCTGGGCAAAGGTGCCCGGCAGTCTCCCGACTGCGGCGATTGGCTTCGGGCGAGGGACAGGAGCTGCAAACGCCGCGGGCTTGGTTTTTTTGCATGCTTGGTTTTGTTGGGCCGTCAAGAATATTGGACACTTGCCAACACGCGACATGCGTCATCATGGCGGCTTCCAGACATGGCAAAAACCTGGTGGGCAGCGCACGAAACTACTGGCCGCTCCGTTTCTCGTGGTCCCCTTTCGGTTCTGCGGATTGGGGGAAGGCATGCCGCTTTGTTGTGTTTCGCAATGAATTGATTGTAGTGATATTGTCGGGCATGGGGAGCAGCTCCAGAAGGTCGGCATGTGCCGATTTTATGGCGAGCTCAGTTGGTGGGTAAAAGCCGATGTCTGGGGTGACTACTGGTTAACAATAATAGATTTGTGTGGTGACGGGCCATATCATTTGTATTTGTGCTAATTCCCTACACATTCAGAATAGACAACGGACACCATAGTATCATGATTGGTGTTACATTTCAGTGCCGTTAGCTTAAAGATAACTTCTTCATGCTGGTTGCAAATTCCAAGAAACAAAGGCCTCTCATGTTGTGACACATGTTCTATTCTGTTGAGTGGAGGTGGCCCGAGTAAGGTTTGGGGAAAGAGTCCCGAATTGGCCAATGGCCAAGCAAGACACATGCAAAAACATGAATTCACGTCGCACGTGGTGGAATGTAACTTGCCGGCTTTTTTGCAAGCCATCCGAAGGGCTAGGATGTTGGAGAGGTCCCGAAGCAAAGGAACCGCAGCTTGGCCTCGCATGCGCCCTGGCTGGCTTGGCCGTCTTCGGCTCAGTGACCAGGACTACCAACACCCGGTACCGAACCCCCCCGCCAAGGCAGGGTTTGCATCGAAGGTTCCAGCTTGCGAAGGGAGATGCCACATGCTTGGCATATCGGGAGATGCTGGTGGCCAGTTCTAGGTGTATGGCAACAAGAGAAAATACCTCAGACGCATTGGGTCAGGCTTAGGCTCATGAGAGCAATTGTTGCCCGTCCGCTCTGGGCAAGCCTCGAGCGGAAGGGCACCGTGCCGATGCACATTCCAAAATGACATGGCTGATTCGGGTACGAGCTGAACCGGGCAGGGAGGCTGAGGGTAACAATTTGAAGGATACAACAGACAGTCATGCCGGGCATTTGGTATCCACCAATTCAACCTAGCGTGTGGCTGGCAAATTTGAGCCTGGAATACTGGTCAGGCTGCCTTTTGTCGTTGTAATCCAGTGATTGGGGCACGCTTGATGAATCTCAGCTGCACTCTATGGAGCAAGACAGCAATCATTTTTGTGCTGGCAGCTAGATGCTGGCGGCTGAGGATTCGGTTGAAACTGGGCTTATGGTAGCAGAGCTTTTAGCTCAGCAGAATTGCCGGCCGCTGCCCGATTTGGCCCTCCGAGTCCCGCTTGTGCTCAACCTCCTTGTGACCAACCAATTTATCCTGATGGGGACGGTCTTGGAATTGAAATGGACGTCCCCAAATTTTTCGGATGGCCTCGGTTCTGTAGAGGAATCATCATACAGCCGGAAGTACAGAGTGCAGACCTTGCGGGTTGAGCCATAGTGGTCCCAGGCGAATTTGTTTTTTAGCGGGCTCTCTTTTGGGGCTTGGTTGGTTAAAGCGGAAACCAAAGGAACACCGCAGCCGTTTTGTGGGGGTTCAGTTCCCTATCTTGACATATCCAAATCCTTGACCCTCAAACAAAGGACAACTGTGTCCCCAGCTTTTGTTGTGGTTTTCGGCCATCAGGCGCAGCTGCCTTGACTCATGCCCTGTGCCACGTCAAAGAGAGGGGGCGGGGGGCAGAGGGCGGGGAGGAGAGGCCTCAGCAAAACCACTGGCAAAGCCAATATACGCCCAGAAAAAGCCATATCTCGGTTGGAAGTGTTGGTCGTGATGTTTCAATCCGTCAAGGGAAACCAACCGACATGCTTATGGTCGAGTATGTCAGGATTGGCTCTTGCTGGACCAGAGATGAACACGAGTTGGGGCAGTTTGCATCAGCTCGGCATGTCGTGTGCCAGTTTTGCTTTTTTGTTTTTTAGTGGGAAGATGAAAGGATGAAGGTGAAGGGAACCCTTGATGGCCAGATGAAGGCGGTGACTTGGGGAGGGTGATTCCTTGGTTGTGCGAAGTTCTTGCTAGCAGGAATGAAGGCACGCGGATTGAGTCTATACCATCTGCGATTGAATTCGTGCTGGGTACTGGTTAGGTAGTTTGTTCCCACCTTCCATTACGCACATTAAACCAGACGAAGGCGAGAACTTGCGTAGAGCTCAAGGTGGGTCTCGGCGAAGCTCGGAGCCGCTATCTTTGCGTTATATGCTGTTTCTGATTCGGGCAACATACCATTCATTTGCTCTGCTGCATGGGGGAGACAAGGGCTCCTTCCATCCATGTTTGTTGCGGGCTTTTTGACACAGCCTCAGGGCGGCTTCCCCAATGTTAGTCTCTGTGCGACAGCAGAAGCGAAATCTATCCCTGGGCGGTCCACACAACCGAGGCATGCAACTCATCTCTTCCCTCCGCTCCTCGCTCCGCTTTGTGGGCCTGGACGCAGACTTGAAGACTCAATGCATTGTCCTTGCGGCGCCTGGGCTCATTTTCATTTAGTGAGAATCAGTGGGAGCTGACGGGAGCCGGGGGTTGAGTGTTGGCGTTTGGAGGTGCTTTCTGAGAAAGAGAAGGATCAAAAAGCCACACGTTTAGGAGTTGAATATACCGTTTTTGAGGAGGCTTCCCTCTAAAACCAACTACCCACAGGTGTCTTTTTTCCCTTGGCTAGTGGAGGTCTAACTCATTCGATCTATATGTTTCGCAATTTTGTCGTCATGTTTCCATTTCAATTCTCGGCAGTGGAACAAACGGCCGACTAGGCCGACCTGTGCAGATCCCTTTCTCGGGAAATACCTTAGGCTCCGTCTACCTCTGGCAGCTAAACAGAGCGGATGGGATAAGCGACGGGGTGGATATTGCAGTGGATTTTTTTCCCTTTGATCGAGCTCGGCTTCGAGACATGGAAGATTTCCCGATTCCAACATGGGTTCTTCGGCCAGGCCACGATATTCCGGGAAAAGGTTGTCACTTCTCAGTCCCAGGGTTGAGTGGCTGGGTGTGTCCTCGTGGAGCTTGTACAGATTGGCAAGCTGGTGGAGGGAGAGAGAGAGGGACGAGACAGTAATGTCGACTTCATATTAGTAAACGGGGTCCCCCCCCCCCCCCTCATTTTTTTTAAAATGTTTTGTCGGGCAAAGTACCGCAATACAATCAATTGTACTTGTAGTATTGCTTGCAGTACTTGTAGTACTTGTAGTACTTGTAGTAGTAACTGTAGTACTTGTAGTAGTCCTTGTAGTACTGCTTCTAGTATTTGTAGTACTTGTAGTAGTGGCTGCAGTACTTGTAGTCTTAGTAGTACTTGTAGTAGTACTTGTAGTAGTACTTGTACTGCTTTCTGTATTTGTGGTACTTGTAGTAGTGGCTGTAGTAGTACTGCTTCTAGTACTTGTAATACTTGTAGTAGTACTTGTAGTACCTGTAGTACTAGTTCTAGAGTACTTGTAGTACTGCGCTACTTCTAGTACAACGAGTACTCGTACTACTGCTTCAAGTACTAGTAGTACTTGTAGTACTTGTAGCAATACCAATACCAAGTTCTTCCCAGGGGTGGCTTTGGGGTGTTTATTAATGTGAACCCTTTTACACATGCGGGTTTGGGGAGCTTGTGTGGGGTACCTCATGTTGGAGTCCAGGGACATCACTTTTGTAAAGAGACTTCATTTAAAAGCCGCACTTTCCGGGCATGGATGTTTTTTGGAGATCTGAGGTCTGCTGGGGGCCTTTGAAGGTTCTGCACGCTACCTGCTTACTTTTGAATCAGTTTGGACTGGTTTGCTTCCTGATACGAAACAACTTGTTTGGCTCGCCCCCGCGTTTCGGGGAATTTTACTAATGTGACTTTTTTGGGTGGTTTATTAATGTTGTGCTTTGGAGGGTCGACTTGGGGGGGCGGTGTTGTATGTTTGCAATTCACTTTTGAATTAACCCCTTCTTAATTTAGTATTGGGTGAAAAAGCGGGTCCGGTGGCCGAGACTTTTATTAATACACCCCCATTTATTAAACTTAGGTTGACATTAGCTTGCTTTAAAGCAACAAGGACTCGGCACATCTTTTTGTTGGCCCTTGGGGGGAGAACCACATCCGCCCCACCCCCTATTTGTTTCGCCAGACTTAGCTTTCTTTCATGACTTTTGGCTTTTTGGTTTTCCAGCATGTCCACTACCAGCAAAAAGTGATTTCTTCCGAGCGTTTGGCAGGCCGGGCCAGAATTTCAGGCGCTCCTTTGGTGGTTTGGATTGGTTTGGGGATTTGGACTCGTGGCCTCTTGTGGGTAAATGGGAAACCCTGAAGCATCCTCAACCCCCGGGCTCCGGCTCGGCTCCAAACCAAACCAATTCGAGGGAACCTGAGTCATGAGAACATCAGACCCTCCCGGGGGGAAAAACAAAACAAAACCAAGAAAAAAGAAACAAAACAAAAACAAAACAAAAGAAACAAAAACAGGGAAGCTGAGTCATGAGAACATCAGCCCCTCCCGGGAAAACAAAAAGCATCGGGTCGACTCCGACTCGCTTAGCCTTCCGAGGCGATCCTGACTGCAGTGCTGCCTCTGGAGATCCATCACCTCCTGGCGGCCTTGCTGGGCGCTGCCGGGAGCTCAGCGAGGGCTTGGAGGTCGCGGCGCTTCGCCTTGGGTCACTTTTCGGCCGGCGGAAAAGTGTTCGGCCTCACAGCTTTTTTTTGTTTTGGGGTTTGCCACGTTCAAAGAGCCAAGTTCAGGCGCCCAAAAGAACAAAAATAAGATCGGAAGCGCTTGAGTGGCCACCGGTGGCTTGCGTTTTGCCGGCTATCTAACGGGTGTTGTGGGCTCCTGAACATGGCCCGAAAGAAACTACGTGTGGCTTTTTGGGCCTTCAAGCATTGTATTTCATTCGCAAAGCTTTTGTGAGTTTGGGGCTATTTGTTTTTTGCAACCAGTGTTCTTTTGGACATACCTTGTTCTTGGCACTCATTTGTACCCTCCCCCTTTTGGAAGTCTCAAGCGGAGCGCCATGCTCGGATGTGGCTTCAAAGGCTGGGGACGAATGCAGCCAATGTAGCAACCACGGTTCACGGGCCGTCGGTCGAACTTTTTTCTGGTCTTCACAAGGCATAGAGCAGGGTTCATTTTTTTTTAAATCCTTTTTTAATTTATTTAAATTTATAATATATATATATATATGAACTTCAGGCTTTTGGATGGTGTTTGAAGGGAAGCCCAAAGCAGCCTCACCAATTTCAGGTGTCCTTTTGGGAAGCAACCTGTGATGGTGAATGGTGATGGCCATGGCCATGGCCAGACAGGGGGCAGAGAGCTCCTAAGGGAACCAGAGTTGTCCGGAGGGGTTCGGGATGTGGAGCGAGCAGTTTCAGCCGGTTTAAGCATCATCTACTGGCAACTTTTAGATGACTTTTCTTTTTGTCTTGGAATATTTTCAAATGGGATATGTAGGGAGCCCTGTGTTACTCAGGGGTGCGCATCACACGTTTATTGGTACTTCAAGCTCCGCTTTTGACACTGATCCGTAGAGCCATCAGCGAGCCCCCTCTGGCAGGGAGGCTTTCCAAGCGGAGCCGAGCCACGAGAACAAAGAACACAGGCCCCTACTGATCAACCAGGTTACGCATTCAGACATTCACTGACATTCTCTCCTGCACTGATCCTGAGCATCCCCAAAATTCTCGCAGATTGAGTTTCGATCCCCTTTCAACTACAGCCCGAGCGATGCATAAAAAGTCGGTTGGTCGAGGCCCAGGGGACTCAGTTTCTTAATGTTCTGTGTGTGTGTGTGCATTTTTTCTTTTGTGTGTCTGTGCCTGTCTCTGTCTCTGTCTCTGTGCCTGTGTCTGTGTCGAAAGGCCTTTCGCCGCAGGCAGGCTACATGTTCCTCCAGTCTCTGGAGCCCACCGTTCAACGAAAGCCGCCCAAGGCACAGGAGAGGGCATGGCCTGGCGCTGTTTGTACCTGGGACCTATTTGTAGTTCCAAAGTGTTTTTTTTTTCCTGGTTCCCACCCCCCCACCCCCTCAAAGGGTTGTGAAAACCCCGCTGACTGCTTTTGGGGAAGGGAGAGGGGCAGAGCAGCCTGCCACTTTGCGGGTCAGATTCCTTGTTTGCCTTCAGGCCAGATGCTCGCAAATGTGAGGGTCTTCTAGCAAAGGTCTTGCCTGAACTGAATGGCACTCCAGGAAACTGGCTAGGCCCAGCCTCAGCACAGCTCTTGAGAAAAGGCAACTGGCTAGCTGAACCATTCGTCCGTGCTAAACACACCCTATTTTTCGATTGCAAAAAAAAAACAACAAACAGGGGACCAGGCTTTTCGATGTACCCAACGCAAACACCAAACGGGGATGATTTTTTGGTCAGACGCCCAACTGCCCTCGCGATTTCCATGGATTCGCCGTTTCGCCAGGACTCCCCCAAGCTGGAGCGCCGTGCGTCCCGAGGCAGGGACCAACAAACGCACAGGGTCCACCAGCCAGGTCCTTTTTTTTTTTGTTTATTCTCCTTTTTTTTCGTCTCCTTATTTTTGTTTTTCTATTTTTTTTGGCGTTTTCTTTTTGGAACTGTCACAGGAAGAGACGCATCCTTCCTCCATTTTTTTTCACCAAGCCTGGCCTCACTTGGGGATTTGAATCCCCGGTTCCTGGGAAGGCAATGGGAAAACCCCCCGGAACATCTTCAAGCCAATCAACACCACCACTTGAGGGCAAGGTGATACCAAGCCACTAAGCTCCGGGCGTCGCTGCGCAGGTGATGTCCCAATGAAGGAAGTGCGCAAGCCCAGTGTGGTTCCGGTGCAGGCGCGGTGTTTGAGATCGCCCCCCTTGCCAATTTGTTGAGAAGGGAACAAGCCATTTTGTGGTGGTCTCTGATCTTTGTAAATGCTCCAACTTGTTCTTCCATGGGAGGGTGGATCCTACAACTGAAGGATTCGTTGGTAAAATCTCATGACGGTCTTAGCGTTCTCATCAGGAAGAACCAAACTGTTCGCTAGCTAGCTCCTGCCTACGCTTTTTGTTTGTTTGTTTTTTGTTGTGTGTGCGTGTGTGTCAGTTGGGCCAGCCCGTGTTCAAACATGTTTCAACCACTATGGTTTAGGCACATTTTCCGTTTGGTTTCCCTTTGAAGGGGACCAGAAGTTGGCTGAGATACATATTTTGCTCGACCTTGGTTTCGTGCCTTTCTGTCTGTCTTGCCAACTTGAAGCACGGCTTGAACATGTCCATGGATGTCAACGGCGCCACGAGGGAAGCCCGCCTGCGCGCGGGGTGTGGAGCTGGTAGGGATTGGGAAGGTCTGGGTTTTTCAAGCTGTGCTCATTTTGGTTCACGGCTTCCACACCATTCGCCAAAAAACCGCCCCATGCAGCTCCCACAGCTCCCATCGCCTCGATCGATTTTGTGAGGCGCCCAAGTTCCAGAGCGTCGGCTGGGAGGCGGAAGTCCAGGAACTTCTCCAGCGCATCTCCCTGCGGCCCGGAACGAACAGCCACGGGTCTTCCTTTGTAGCGGAGTTGATGTCTGTCTTCAAAACTGCGCCCACGAAGCTGGCTCTTCCGACAGGTGCTATGTCAGGATGGAGCGTCTCTTGTTTGGGTGGACTAATTATGAAGCAGAATCTGAACATATTCTGCGTACCACAGATTTGGGCCACGGTTTTGTCTGCAAGGGTGTAGAGCCCTAGCTGTTTATGGATGTCGAGGGGACCCTACTGACAGGTGAACTCAAGACAGTTGAAAGCCAAGAAGCCGGTTGGAGGGGCCCAACTAATGTTGAGTCAAAAGGCAACTGACCAGTTCTCCACTCCGAATTGGACTTCAACAGTCATCCCTTACTTGGACTTTCTAGCTGATTTGCAACTACACCGCTTGAAAACGCATATTCCCTCCCCAAAACCACCCACTTGCAGAGGAGTCTCCTGCTGGAGGAGTTCTCTTTGCGCTGCGCGCCGTGTCTTTTTGTTTGTTTTCCCCCCTCTTTTTTCCAACCTGGTTGCTTTTTTAACCAACCTTTCGTGTGGGTTGCCTTGGGACCGTTTTTGGGTGGACCCTTTGTCGGAACCGTGGGCCCTGTTTTCGCCGCGTGCCACCGGGTGGTCGCGTCGTCTGAACCGAGGACCGAGGAGAGCCAGGCGCAGGTGGCGGCCATCACTGCGACGCTCAGACGTGTTCTGCGGGGACTGTGTTGCCCTCCGTTTGGGGTGTCTCTAGTTACACCAAAGGGGGTCATCCAAAAAAGGAGATGACTGGATGCCCTGTTTTGATATGTTTTTTGGTCACATTTGGAATGGGATGGTGAAGCGGAGAAGGAGCTGGGCGTGTCTTAAGTGGGAATCGCCCACCAAGATATCACGAATCCGGGCATTTTGCGCGAAACGGCCTTCGGATTTACCGAAAAGAAGCCAGGGGATGGATCATTCTCGATTTTGCTTTCGCCGCCTCTAAATTCATGTTGCGCCGTTGCGCCCGGTTCATTGGTTCCTTGGAGTTCGCCAACTTTTGAGAAAGAAAGGTGCACGGAGCTATCTTAGTTGAGCTCATTCCGTTGGCAGCATGTTGGCGAATGGAAGTGAGCATGTGGGGAGGGGGACTGGGGGCTTCAAAAGCATGACACTTGGCAAAACTTGGTGTAGAAATCCATTGGCAACACAGTATTTTGTCAGTTGAAACGAGACGCACGTTTAAAGGCTGTCTTTCAAACCACTTTAATTGGCAGTAGGGAGGCTTGCTCTGGGCCCCATGTTTTTGGCTGCTGCTTGAGGGACGTGCGTGTTTTGCCGGGTGGGGGACACGGGGCTGTTGGGGCTGCGCAAGTTGGTTCCTATTTCCTATTTCCCTTTCTTATTTCCTTTTCTGACCAGGAATGTCCTTTGACTCCCACTCACAAGTATGGATGTGCGTGATTTTTTTTTTGCGATGTCCTTGTTGATCTTGCTTGTAATGGAACCAACGGGGACCAAAGGGGAGCCACTCATCTCATTTTTTTCCTACTCAGAGACAAGCTCAAGCCCCTATGCTTTGCAGGAGCCATTGAGGTTGACATTTGCCGGTCACGCGACTCGAATGTTTTGAGGCTGGTTGGGGCGCTTGGGTTCAAACCCATCGCCTCCCCACACAAACTTGGAACCTGAAAGGGCCCACAGGCGCAAAGAAGAATCTCCTACATGAACTGGGCATTAGGAAGGCCTTCCTGGGCAACTCCCACAGGCCCCCCATCGGGCCACTTCCTTCCCACGGTCGAGAAACCCTGTTACTCGGGGTTGGAAGGGAGTTCTTGTTAAGGGAGCCAAGAAGACCATGACGGTGTCCCGCGCTGGACTTTGTTCCCCCAGTTGGGAGGTGGTTCATCTCACATCCATCACATGTGCCCGGCGCAGATGTTTTCCACTTGGGCCGAAACGACCCAACTCAGGAAGGTGCGGGCGGTGCTGGCGCCGGTGATGCCTGGCGCAAAGGCAGGGGGAACCTGAGGGAAACTGGAAGGAACCTGAGGGGGGGGGAGCTTGAAGGGACACCCACGTTTTTTTTCTTTTTCTCCGGTGCAGCTTGGAAGGGAAGAAGCCCCGCGAACAGCAAGCAGTAGTTCGATGATCTAGTTGGCCTCGCGTCGCTGGCTGGGTTCTTCAAATGGGGAAGCCCAAACGACATCATCAAACTCACAATGAACACTGGCATGTCAGTTTGTTTTTCACCAAGGTAGGCATGACCCTTTAATTTTAAGCTTACCTTGAGATCATCCACACGTGCAACCCTAGCACTTTGAGAGTTCCTGGACTTTCTTCTTTTTGGGAAGACCAATTTAGCAGTAAGTACATAGTTTGGACTGATCTTTCTTGGGCCATCCACTCGGGAAGCGAGATTTCGACTTTCGACCGACCCTTTTCGGGATTTGATCAGGGACTCGGACACCGAGACGGCTTCAACCGATGCTAAGCCCCCCCCCATCCGCGCCCTTGGACGCAGCGCCTTGCCGCGCGCCTCGCGGGCGCGCCCTTCGCAGGTGGACGGCTACTGCGGGGCCAATCCGGGCACCTGCTGCGCCTTCGGCGTGGCGGTGCCGGACCTGGAGATCGTGGTGCTCTGCAAGCCCCAGGTTCGGCTCGAGCGCAGCGAAGCGAAGGGGCGGGTGCGGGCTTGGGGCTGGCTGGGAGAGTTTGGGAGGCTTCTGGGGGATTTTGTTTGGGATAAGTCTAAAGACGTCTTCTTTGGCGGTTTTTGGAAGAAGATCGTTTCGGTTTATGGAGATGCGCGCTTTTTGAGAATCCGATTTGGGCTTGTGGTGGATTTTGAGGAAAGGAATGATTCAACCGTGTTGAATGTCCAAATCCCGATTTTGATACACCCCCAATTGGACCCCCCAAACGGGTGGTTTTGTTTTTGGTTTCCACCTAAAACCAACCTGAAAGGGGTCCCTTGACAAAAACACCCTCCAAATGGATAAACCACATAGGACCCAAGCCTGCCCCTTTTCACCAACATCACGCCCCAATTTGGGCCTTTTTCAAGGCCTGATTTGGAGGGAAAAGTGAATTCTGTGTGGTGGATTTATTTGGGGGAAGGCATGGTGGGAGTCGAAATTCAAGTGGGGTCCATATTGGTTCATGCTGAAGGGGGAAATTAATCCATGAAGGGAAAGTTAAGAGAGAAGCCAGCCGTTGGGCTCATGTTTGTAGAGACAATTTGTTCTTTTAACATAGGTTTTGGTATGTCTCAAAACAGGAAATCCCTCAAAGGATGGGCTTTCCTGACACCTTCCCTTCTCAACCAACCTGAGAGAAGGCACTGGCAGAAGCAGACGGAGGGTTCTCATGTCGGGGAAGCGAGCGAGCAGGCCTCAGCTCGCGTGGATGCCGCCAAGTTCCAGAAGGCCTTGATCCGCTCTTGCCCTTTGGCCGATTCCCGCGGTGGCTGGATCGCGCGGGGGAGGGGGAAGGGGGGGGTGCGTTTCAACCGCAGGAACCACTTTTCTTTTTTTAATCCCTCCCTTTGTTCCAAGGTGCTTGCTTTAATAGCCTTTAGTACCTGCCTTTTCCTGGCCTTTTCCAGGAACAGTGGCAAAAAAATCGAACAGGAGCCTCACTGAAAAGTCCTGGCATACCCCTTCTCCTCAGAAGTGACCCGTCGAACGGAAGGATACATTTCTTTCTTCGGCCAATCCAGTTGGCTGATTTCTTTTGCGGGGCCCGGGTCGTCCATTTCTCCAAGGAAGGACGACCCTGTGTGGGACCCCCCCGCGGCGATCTAATTTTTTCCGGGGCTCAGGACCGGGAGCCCAGAACATGGGATGTTTCCTTCGGTCTCCGCCTTTGCCGAGCGGCAGCGGCAGCGGGCTCCGGCCGAGCGTGGCTCCGTGGCTCGCGGGCTGAGGCACCGACCGCCTGGTGGCCGCCGCTTTCAAGTTCCGGCGCTCCGCCTTCCGCGGGGTGGAGCCCAAGGCCGAGCCGGGAGCCATCGGCTGAGAGCCATCGGATGGCCATGGACCTGAGTTTCAAGAGTTGGACCGGGCTTCGAAAAAAAGACATGGCTTTTTCAACACCAATATAAAGCGAAACACCAGAAAACAAGTGGCAATGTTCAGGTGTATAATGTAAGGATCCCCGTTGGAGCCCCTGAAAAGTGGTCGGTGGACAGAAATCGCCGCCAAAATAATATCCACCAAAGGGTCCCCAATTGATGTTCATTCCCACACATGTTTTTTCAACTTCACAAGGAACGGGGACAACCATCACCTTCTGAGGGAGATGTCGCAGATGTCATTCTCTTGCAAAATGAGGATGCTCATGAAGCCCTTAGGAAACCGAGTTAGGAGTGAGATCTGCGCAGCAAAGCCAACACATCTCAGAAATGGTGTCCTCAAACTGCGAGAAAGGTGTTTCTAAGAAACAAACTTTAGCATCAGAGCATCCTCCGCTGGCCCATGAAGGACATGCGCACCGACTCGCAAGTCAGTTGTGAAGTGCTTAAAGCAGGGACTCTTTTGCCTTGACAACAGGAAAGTGTGTCGTGATGGTCCTGCTTGAAACACACATTGGGTTGTTCTTCCTGAAGAGCAGTCACGCTTGGTTGACTTGTTGCCTCATCTTAGGGACCGGACCGATGATGGTTTGCAGCCGCAATTCAGCCTCCCTTCGCCCATGCTCAAAATGGGCAGCCCCTTTTGGCAAGGGACACCTGTCCAATGGGAAACCAAACCCAACCCCACGGCCCAAAACCTCGCGACCTCCCGTCCCGCAAGTTTCAACGAACTCAGCTGTCCAGGTGACCTTGATCTCGCCCCCGGAGGATGGTCAGGTGGGAATGTTCGCCAGGAATCCGTTCAGGTGGTTTTGTGCTTGCCCTGTTGCCAGATGTAATCTTCCCAGAACCGCCCTGTTTTCTTGACTCGCCACTGTGTTTGTTTGTGCACCCGCTAATTGTGTGTAAATCTGAAATACTATAATACTTGAGCCTCGTTGCGATGGACGCTGCACTTGTCCTGCACCCATGCTGAAGAAATGCCCTGCTTTGGGCCCCTGTTTCAAATAATTTTGCTCGACCCCCAGCGTTTCTGTTTTTACCTCGGGAGTCTGCGCTTCTTACTCAACTTCCGGTTGAAAGAAGGGTATCACAATTGTCACCATTTTCACCAGCATTATCACCAGCATTATCACCAGCATTATCACCAGCATTATCAACACCACCAGCAGGAGCAGCGGCAGCAGCAGGAGCAGGAGCAGGAGCAGCAGCAGCAGGAGCAGCAGCAGGAGCAGCAGCGGGATGATCATCATCATCATCATCATCATCATCAGCATCATCATTCCCCTGGGCCCTGTGGTTATTGGAGGTTTGGGGGGGGTTTGGGGCAGTGTGGAATTCAGGGGCGGCAAATCAATGAGCACCCCTTCTCCCCGAACCGTACCGCAGGGGCGACAGTGCCCTCTGCCATGCGTTGACACTCGACCGTGACCGCTCCATAGTGCGGTCACGGCCAGGTGTTGCTTTTCTGATCTCTATGTGCGGCGCTCCCCCGCCCCATAGTGTGGTCCTTGCCGCCCACAGTGTGGTCACTGCCACGGCCAGGCGTTGCTCTCCCTACGTATGTGCGGCTTTCCGTCGCCCCATGGTGTCCGTGCTGTTCCGCCGTATGCTGGCTGCGGTTGCTCTCCTGACCTTGGCCGCGTGCCCCTACGGAATGCCGCCATAGCGTGGTTGGGTCAGGTGTGCGTTCCGCCACTCCGTGTGGTCACGGCCAGGCCGGCCAGGTGTGGCGTGCCGCCAGCCCTGCGCAGATGGGGCCCTGGTCGTTGCCTCGTTTTCCCCTTGTTCCTCCGTCGCTTTAAGTTAATTGGCCCCCCGGAGCCCCAGGCTTTTGCAAGAGACGGCGTGGCCTGCATTCGCCAACCCAACCAACCAGCCCAATCATCGTCATCATCACCACCACCGCCGTCACCATTACCACCACGCATCATAACTCATACAGCACACATCAAGCATCATGCGTCATACACTTCACATCATACAGTTCACGACATACAGCCTACGTCATAGAATGCACATCGAATCACACGTCACCCACCATGACCTTTGCAAATTCTCGGTTTCTGCAGCATCAGGCCGGCATCCCCTTCAACCTTGCCGTGAACGCCTGCACACCAGCGCGCTCAAGCGCTGTCTTCGAGGCTGGAGAGTTGCAAGACACTCCCGGTTTGTGCTGAATTTGCGTGCAACACTTGGCTGTTTGGTGCTCACCGGTTCGGTGCTGAAAACTAACGAAAGCAAATGATGTAGGCCTTTGGCATAGTACAGCATCTCTTCAAGGGGATATCCGGACGAGCTGAACATGGATCGCTTTCAGACATTGGGCAATGGCATTTTTCCTTGCCTTTTTCAAGGCGAGGTTTCCTTGAACAGACATTTTTGAGCTTTGGCGGCTGTGCTCGGGTTTCGGGTTTACTTGGTCCCTGAGGCAGAGGCTCACAGGGTGCGATTCTGAGCCGAGGAAAAAATTGTCTGCGAAGCTTACAGGATCATCAGATTTCTTTGCCATCCCCAACCCTCCCAACCTCAAGTGGCCATTCGATCTTGAAGTTTTTGGCTTGTGCCGAATTGGGCCAGCCTCACGTCTGAACATGTCTAGCAGGATATGAGGCTAATTTACTTGGGTGAGGGGAACAAAAAGGTGGGGGTGGGGGGGTGGGGGGGTTTTCTGTTTCCATTTGTCCAAGCCCCAAATGCTAAGCCAAGAAGTGGGCTG